CATGCCTCTGTATCAATGAGATCTGAATTTTTATGCTGTTGTAGGAAAACAAAAAGTGAAAAATGATTCAGTTGCACACAAGATTAGCAGTGCAGTTTTCTCAGAAATGTATTTTTGTATGAGGTCTTTTTTAACCTATTTGGGTGTCCAGTGACCTGTTCCTGCTGGCCAGAGATACTTAACTGTGGGGCTCTCTCTCACAGCCCGGGTTGGCCACTTCAGAGGAACTAGGATGTTCTTTCTGGAGCCCTATGCAAGAACCACCCTGGAAGAGAGAGTAAGTGCGAGGGCAGATGCAAATCTACCTCTGTGGTACTGCATCAAGAGGATCTTTGCCTGCTCATTTGTGATTGCTTTACACCGTTGCCTATTTCCTGAATATTGGCTGAAATTCCTTGAAGGAATTTTTCATGCAAATGAAGCAAAACTGCATTTGACTGGATCTGAAACTTACATTGCAGTCAGTGGTATTTGACATCTTAGAGAAGTAAAGCAAATATAGTTCATGAGACTAGTGCTCTGAAAGTATCATGTTTTCACAAAATTAATGTTGATTTTAAGACACAATATAGCCATTCTTTTGAGAGCAGTCACTTTTTATTAGGGCAAAAGGATGCCAATTTTTAATGTTTAAAAGACCAAACAAAATAATTTCATTGTGAGCTATCCCTCAATTTAATACATGCACAGCTTTTTGCCATCTCTCGCACAAATGTTAGTCATGATTATGCATTTATATAATGTTTTCCTTCTAAGACTCAAGTTTAAAATATAATGTCTTATTAAAGGATTAAGTCTGTGGGCATGAATCACGTAGACCACACCACTTAGCCATCTGGCTTTCCTTTCTCTCTTCCTGTGAAGAAACAATCAAATGATCTTGAAGCCCAGACAAGCGCAGGCAATGCTGGTTGCCTCTTGGTCCACAGGATTTGAAGTTCACATTCCTCCCACTCACACTGTAATGCCAGGACCTTGACCTTGGTGACAGTCAGGTTCCCTAACTTGTATTCAGGCAGTGGTAACATTAGACAACACAGCCCAGGCTCACCTGCAGATACGGTGATTGCTTAGAGTATAAGTTGGAGGCCGGAGTCAGTTCTCTGGATATTTTGTCATCCTACTGTAATATCCCACTTGTATGATTTTCAATTATTTTGTTGACCATACGAAATAATCAGTAGCCCCAGGGGGAGGAGGTATCAAGTAGGAACACATCAGGAAACAATACACATCCATGCATAAAAATGGTAGTGCTTTATCAGCATTTTAAAAAAATACAAGATAATGTAAATCTGGACTACTGACTTTGACGAGTAAGTGTCAAAATTTAATAAATCCAGAAAATAAGTAAAAGAAATAGAGGTAAACAAATATCCAGAGAACTAGATAAAAGAAATTAATTTTTCTTTGGGAGAAGGAAATGGAGGTATACACTGGCATTTACTGATATGCAAAGTTCCCTATGGGGCAGGTCAAGGGTCTCCAGCATGATCTAGTTTGTCCTTCTTCCTGACTTCCTAAAGGGCAGCATTGTTTTCGCTTTCTCTCTGTATCTTTCTCTCCTAAGCTCCAAGATTTATTGATTGAACAGAATTTTTGAAAAAAAAAAGAATTCAAGAAAGAATTTTCATACAAAATGTTATGTTACTTTTCTCACATTTTTGCGCCTTCTAGTTTGCTGTAGAGAACATTAGAGCTTCCCTGTTTAGTCCTTTGTGGGGTCTCTTACACCTTGAGATTTCATCTTTGACCAGGAGTCTTAAGTGTCCATCACAATGTGTCTTCCAGAGGCTCTGCATTTGGTGTTTTGGTTGCTCTGTGAACCTTTCAATCTTCTTTTGCCAATCTTATTTCTAAGAATTTTCTCATAATATTTCATACTAATTTCTTCCCATCCTTTCTCTTGTACAGGTTAGTATTCACTAGAGGGACATATTTAATATAAGATATAGATATATTTAGAATAAGTTGTAGAAGAATAAGACTTATAATACATTAACTTATAGAATAAGATGTGGAAGAATGCAAAAGGGCTGTCTGCATCCTGGAGATCCAAAGGTTCCAGTTGAAAATCGAAGGCCTAGAGTTCATTGCAGAGTCCCATCTGCGCTAGAAGCCTGGAGACAGACATCCAAAGGCAATGGTGAAGACTGGAGCTCCTCCGAACAAATAGAAACAAGACTTCCTTCTTGTTTCCCTTTTTATTCCATCCAGGATACAAGCCCATTGGTTAGCACCACTACAACCAGAGCAGGTCTTCCCTCTTAAATAAGTCCATCATCCACACCCAAACTATGCTAAACCAATCAGCTGGGTGTTTCTTATTCAAGTTGATACCAGTTAATTGTCACATTCTTCCTTGGCACTACTTAACACTTGGTAGAAGCTGGACTCTTCAGATTGAGCTTTAATTTTCTTATGTTTTCCTTCCTGTTATTTTTGGAGAGTTTCTCAGTTTACCTTCCAATTGTCTCAGTAGATTTTTTTTTTTTTTTATGTTTAGCTGTTATTTTTTTTTTTTTTTCTTTTGGTAGATATTTTGAAGCTGGATCTGGCCATATAGTCTCAGCTGGCCTTAAACTTACTATATATACTAGTCTAGGCTCAAACTTGTGACCCTCCTCCCTTTCTTCTTCCCTCCCTACTGAGTGCTGGTATTGCAAGTATGCACCACTGTGCCTGTCTGGGCTGTCATGTTTTTAAATATCAGAAGTCCTTCCTTATTCCCTGAAGACCCAGTTGTGAGCAAGCTTCACTGCAGAAACAGTAGTTGACATCTGCTTATCTTTTGGGTAGAGCCTTGTCCTCACATATCTGGGGATAAAGCTTTCCAAAGTAGAGTCTCATCTTTCCAGAGAGGTTTTGACTTGGCCTTTTCCTTTCCTCCCTGCTCTCCTTTGTGCCTCAGGCCTGGGGTGTATGCCCATTTAGGCAATCCCAGAGAGCCCTACCCCTCAGAAGTAGAGGAGGGGACCTTCACACGCCCAGGGAGGAGCTTCCTCTGTGCCCAACTTTCTAAGGAACCTGAGCCTTAAGCCCCTTCTCTACTATTCATTCACTTTGCTTTCCTGCCGTGCCTATTGCTTCCCCACTAGGGCTGTGTGTCCAGCAGCTGTGTACCCTGTAGCCTCCCTTCCACTTCCACACACCCTTGGCCTTCACCTTATGGACACTGCAGTTCTCTGAATTCACATGTCACACTTTAGTCATGGGCATCTCCACATTTTGTTCACAGTTGAAGTTGGTTCTCCTTGACCAAGGAGGTATCTTTCCCTAACTATAGTCTTTCCTTAAAAAATCTCTGCAGAGCAAGATGATTTTTAAAGAGCCTGAAATACTTTTATACTCTTAGCATAGAAACAAGTTATTTGTAAGAACATTACCTTACTCTCGCAGAGGTCAAAAGGGCAAACAGCAGTGTTTATATTGAGCTAGAATGTCTGGCTCGGGTGCCCATGCTTCACCACGTGGCCTACTGATGTGATTTAGTGCTCACAATTGGGACCTCCATGCTCTTGTGTGCTGCTGTGCCGCACCATATGGCCATGTGGGCACAAAGCAGGTCGATAGTTAGTGAGAGACTCAAGGACATCTGCCTCCAAGCTGAAGTGGCTTAAGTGCCTGACAGGTCATGTTAGCACATGAGCAGACTTTTGAAGGAGGTAACCTTGGGGACCGTAATGTGGTGACTTTAATAACATCTTTAACTTAACATGTCCAAAATATTACCATTTTAGCATCCAGTAAATATTAACAATAGTAGGATAGTTTACATTTTTAAACACTTATTATGTCTCCATTCAAATGTTAATTTTTCATCTTATATACTTCACTGTGTTGAGATTTTTATCAAAAAAAAAAGTAAATTCACATACCAAGATTTTCCCACCATACTTTAAGAAAGTGAATCGGAGTGTTAGTTTTCAACTTTCAGTTAATGAAAAAAAGAAATAGGGGTCCCTCTGTCTCATTTGTCCATTTCTCTGGAATATAGCATATCATGGCTCGTGGTGGCTATGCGGCCGCTGACCCTAGAGGCACCATGGGGGAGTCAGTGCCACACAAAGGCCAGGGAGCATGACCTGGGGCTCTCAGAGGCACTGAAGCCTTCAGGAGGGTGGATATGCTGGAATTTTGTAAGGAAGGACTGTAGTTAGGGAAAGATAGACAAAGCAGTTGGGATCTGCCAAGCCCACATGCTGACACTAGTGATCTGGTGACCTGACCTGGTCCAGGTGGACTGACCATTGTCATGTGGTGCCTAACCCAAGGCTTCCTTGCAGCACAAAGCAACAAGACAGATGGAAGCTTTTCACTTCATCTGGTAAGGTTTTTCTTACAGTTGGATGAGGTATGATTGCTGAATAGTGAACTGCACACCTGCAGAGTGTGTAGATTGATGCATTGAGGCATGCTTGTGCCACTCAGCACAAACCAGAAAGCTGATGTTTATATTCTCTCTATATGTGCCCCCTGCTGAAAGGAGCCATCCTGTTTCTGGTTCTGAAAGCCAAATTGTGGCTTCCAGTGCAGCGGGGTCCTACTCTGTTGCTTTGAGCAACAGTTCATCATCTCTGGGCTTTGACTTCTCCTTGGAGAGGATACCGCTTGTTTTCCCCACAAGTATATTTAAAATACTTAACCTACAGTGCCCAGGAGGCTGTTGGGAACTGAGCACTTGGGTGATCACATAGTCACATCAGGAGCTTCCCAGCTCCTCACCAGCGTGGTGAGGCCTTGGCCCCCTGGCAGCCTGTCGGAATCCTAGCAGCCTCCCTTAATCCCTTAGCTCTGATTGCTGGTCGAAAAGAAAATAAATCCTGGGAAACATACACAGGGAGCAGTATTTTACTGTAGATTAGATGCTGCTCAGGGTGAGTGGCTTTGTTTCATCAAAGTGATCCCCAAAAGTACACACAGTGCCATGTGCAAGGGTGGGCACACCCTTGATAAGCCTCGTCACCCCTCCTTCTCACTGTCTCTTCTCGGCCCCACAGAGGGTGCTCAGAGCTCTGCCGTGTTCCACTGGTGGAGTACAAGCTAGACAGCGAGGGTGCGCCCTGCGAGTACAAGACCCCCTTCAGGAGGAACAACGCATGGCACCGTGTGCCCACACCAGCCCTGCAGCCCCTCTCTCGAGCCTCACCTGTGCCTGGCACACCTGATCGCCTGCAGTGTCAGCAGCTACTCCAGCAGACCCAGGCTGCCATTCCCCGCAGCACCTCATTTGACCGGAAGTTGCCTGATGGCACCAGGTAATGCCACTCTGGGCATGGACCAAAACAGCAGAATGTCAGGAAAGTCTTACTTGGTATGACCTCTTCTGCATTAGCTTGTTCTGAGCCCCTGATGGTCAGGGTGGTGGGTAGGGACCTCAAATGTGGTGTTCAGAGTGCAGCCCTTTCCTTTTCCTGCTGCGTGCTGATACAATATTGCCCTGCCCATCATGACCCCAGGCTGCCCTCTTCATCTGATACCTGCCCACCATGTCTGCTGGCTTTCCAAACTACCTCGGTGAAAGTACTCTAGAACTCTTCTATATGTGCCTTCAGGCAAATAAAGTAAAACCAAGGCAGGAATGATGAAATTTCATCATCTCAGTGCAAGTGGAGGGCTGAGAGGCACCAGGAGCATTAGCACTTTGCTTTTCTCCTCCTCCTGAGCAAAGTGAATTGAGTGGGTCTAAGATTGATTTTTATTTCCAGTGGAATTTAACATATTGATATTGTTAGCTCATTTCTGTAGTTTGCTTCCTTTCTATTCTGTTTTATATTTTTATCTGATTAGTGGGTGATTGTCAAAGCTTGGGTTTTAAACACCCGAAGATTCTTAGAATAAGGAGTATTCCCAGCATGCATAGTTGGTATATAGCAGGCAGAGTGGTCCCCAAAGATTTCCACATCTTAATCCCTAGATCCTGTGGATATGTGTGGTTACATGGCAGTGGAGAATTGTAGATAGAATTAAAGTTAATGAGCTAGTTTTGGGGGTTTTGTTATTTGTTTGTTTGTTTATTGGTACTTCAAATTTAACTCAGGGCCTTCCTACTGAGCTATATCACTAGCCCTGCCCCCAGTCCCAGCTTTGGCATTTTTTGTTTTTGTTTTTGACAGTTTCACCTGCCCAACCAGCATTCAAACTCAGTCGTCTTCCTGCCTCAGTCCATGTTGGGATTATAAGCATGTTAAGATTCACTTTTCAGTGAACAAAATACATTTGTTTAATGTTAAATCCAGTAGTACTAGAAGCTGGAGAGAATTTGGAGTACCTAATTTTCATAGGTCATGTCAAGGGAAGAAAACTGAAATTACTTAGTTATGGTTGTTAATTCCTACTCCTCTTATTTTCACTTTCACTTTTGTCCATTGAGGTGCACCAACTTCCTTCAGATAATGTGTCAGGTCCTGGTCTGATAAGTTGTTATCACATACCAGGAGCCAGGCTGCCCAGTTTCCTTATCTGGTGGATAAACAGTAATGGTCGCATCTCATCAGGGCATTCTGAGTGCATTATTATAGGTGAAATGCCTAGAAGCAGATGTGACACATAGTAAACTCTAGAAATATTAACTAGAATCAGTGAGACTGGCACATGTAATCATCCTCTGCCTGCTCCATGCATCTTTCCAGAGTGGATGCAAAAGTAATTTAATTTAATGTAAAGTTGTTTTGGCTCTGGGTCTCCTTACTTGAAGGTTGCTGGGTCCTGAGCTTCCCACATTCAAAAATGTGCGTAATAGCTCTGGTGAGAGGAGGAGCCACAGCAAGAAGCATCTGGAAGGAAGGAGTCTGCACAGCCTCCTGCACTTACTAGGTAGAGCTTAGTAAATTACAGGGAAGACCAGGAGGAGTCCAGTAGCCAAAGAAGCTAGCAAGCATATCTCATCAAGTTCTTATGCATATTCCTCACTTTGTCTGAAAAAAGATAAATAGGATTGCATTTAGTAGATGTGTGAAAATAAGTGGTGCCAAATTTCTGTAGAGGTTTTAGATATAGAGCCAATATATTTGCATTAAGTTTTGGGAAATTTGAGTTAGTGGTGTCTTTATAGTTCTGTGTTCTTTGGGGTATTATTCACAGTTTTCCATATTTCACTGGAGGGATGGCTCTCTGTGCTTTAAATCTTAGACCAAGAAGACCTGCCCCACTCTATCTCTTTTCTTGAGCTAAATTGTCAACTATAAACTACCTGAAGCCTTGGGGCATCACAGATTTTTTTTTTTTTTTTTTTTGTACCAGGGATCGAACTCATCACCTCACACTTGCCAAGCAGGCGCTTATGCTGCTGAGCGAAATCTCCAGCCCCAGCATCACAGATTTTTAATTTATCCATGGTTACTCTTTTTTTGTACTACAGTATGTTTTTCTTCCTCCTTTTTCATAGTCAAAGTGAATTTGTTTGTAGAACAGTGCCAATAGGTGAGGGTCTAACCAGGACATGGTGACCCAGTAATAACTACCTTCCTTTCAGAAGTTCTCCCAGCAACCAGTCCTCCTCCAGTGACCCGGGACCCAGCAGCAGTGGACCCTGGAGACCACAAGTGGGCTATGACGGGTACTGCTCATTTCTACCTTCCTATCTGTCTCCTTGGGAAGATTGTGTGTTTGTGACTGGTTCTAGAACATTTACTGTGCACCTGCTCATCCAGGAGGCCATTTGGGGAGCATGAAAATCCCTAATGTGCTTTCACTAAGTGACAGATGCTCATCATCTCCATATAGGCAGAGCTTACTAGCCTGTATCCTGAGCCTAGTTTTTCCTTTTGGTGAAGAAGGCTTTCTGAACATAATAAAAATTTGGAGATTCTACAACAGAGCTCCTTGGGTGTTTTCCCCTCGTGTGAATTGCCAAGCAAGAATCAGCGCTGTAAACCAGAGAAGCAGGGTCAGTGTCAGGGAACCTTTGCTTCCTACTGAAACCTACTGAGACACTGAGGTCGCCCAAAGCTGCAGGCAGAAGGGCAAGTGTGGTGTCAGCCTGGCAGCGGTGACCTGGTGAAGCCTGGTGATGGAGGAATGAATAGTACAGAGCTGGTTGCCAGCGTGATCAGAGGGTGTGGGTGCACTGGAGGTCACTGGCAATGGGTAGCTCTGGGCTGTGCTCATCCCTAGGATCCCAGCTCTTCTAGTTTGGGCTTGGATGGGAGGTATTCATAGTCTAAGTTACATGTGTTCCTCACCTTAGACAATGCAGGTCTTAACATTCATATGTTAAGTAATTTTTCCTAATTAGTTGCATATTAAACATAGAGGGTAGGTGTTTAATTTTCTTTTTGTATAAATTGAAAGAGCTTTTCTGTATTTTTTCTGTGACCTGGATTCTGTAAATAAGAATCACATTTTAATGTGAGTACATTTTCTTTGATTCACATATTCCTTTTCTGATGTTATATTTTCTTATTTGGGGTGTTCATAAACTGAGCCCACTTCAATATAAGCTAGAGTTAATCATTTTTTCTTTTCTCTAAAAAAATTGAATAACTTACATGTATCAGTGGTGTGTGTATTAGACACAGAGAAAACTTAATCCAGAACAGTGAGCCTTTCCTTAGTTGGCAGGGATGGTGTCTGGCCTAAGTGGCCACCTCAGCATCTATGAAAAATGTCATCCAGCTACCTGTGTCCACCCTGTGGTGATCTCTGACTGCTGATGCCCCGATATATCTGGTGGGTTGGCCAAAGACACTGGAGTTCCACTTTCCAGAAGGCAGTTTCATGTGAGGGCTTCCACTGCGTGGCCTTTCTAGAAGCCAGCACATCTGTTCCCCACTGGCAGGTGACTTAGCAAGGACAGACTAAGCTCTGCATTCTCTCTAGGTGCCAGTCCCCTCTGCTGCTTGAGCACCAGGTCCCAAGCCCTCTGGAGTGTGACAGGGCCAGGGAGCGTGAGGATGCCATAGAAGGAAGCGGGCTCACAGGTAACATGGAATCCTGAGGCAGTGATGCCCTTCACAGTCCTTTCGGTGCTGCCACACATTTGTCCATTCATTCATTCTCTCACTTCTTGTTTGGGGGGCACCTGTGTGCACCAGGCTGAGATGACTAACTGAGCCTCCCAGTGAAGAAAGGATGTGGCTGTGGGTAGTTGTGACATGATTGTGGGTATTTGTGGTATGATGATGGTGTAGCAGTGAGTAGCTATGGTGTGGCTGTGGTTGACTGTGGTATAGCATGTAGCAGTGGTTGACTGCAGCATGGTATTGCTGTGGGTTGCTCTGGGTTGAGTTGTGTCAGGGGTGGTCCGTGGATGGCAGTGATTGGCCGTAGATAACAGTGGTTGGCTGTAGTGTGGTTGTGGTTCAGTATAGATGGCAGTGGTTAGCTGTGGTTGGCTGTGGTTGACTGTGTTTGTGGTATTTGTAGAAATGAAAGACTTAATGTGCGCTTATTTTGTTCACTCTTGGGCATATCCCCTGGCAAGAACTAGAAGTCCTAAATGCAGAGGATCATTTAATTCTTGTATTTTGAGGCTCTTTTGCTACTGCCAGAAGTTGGTAATTCAACTCTCCTCTCCTCTCTTTATGTGACAGAATCCAAATGGCATGGCCAGCCTTCCAAAGTCCTCAACACCTACAAAGAAAGAGCCCTGCAGAAAGATGGTAGTTGCAAAGACTCTCCCAATAAGCTTTCTCATGTAAGTCTTGTTCATGGTGATTTCCCCTTGTCAGGAGTGTCACATAGTAGGGCAGCACACTTCCTGGGAGTGCCTAGGATTCACAGCATATCCCAGCACATGGTAAGGTAGTGTGCATGCCTGTAGTGCTTGAAACGTGCCGTTTGCCACTCAGGGGTCTTACAGGAAATGTGATACAAAGCAATTTTTTGGTTCCCATTATTTATAAAGCAACTCAAAGAACTGTCTTACAGTAAATTACTGGAAGAGCCAGGATTATATCACAGCCTTCTCAGCCTCAGTGTCCAGCCAGTATTCAGGAGTTTCTGTCCCTACATTTGGTGTGCTGTTAACCACTCATCCACTGAACAGTGTGGGGGCAGGAGAGACACTGAAGAACCCATGTGGGCAGAGGCTGTCTGTGGGGAACCCTCACATGCATCTCTAGCGACCACTGATATGCACATAGGCTAACACCGCTCCACGAGATGTCCTCTGTCACTCATGTGCACTGCCTCACCACCCTTGCAGAAGTGTGACGAGGCCTCATGAGGACTGCCTCTGTGAAAAAAAGCTTCCAGTTAAATAAGAAAAAGGCATTGTTCACTAGTTCTTGTCAAAGAAATTGAATGTTTTAAAGTGCTTTGTTTTGAAAATGTGCAGGTGAAGAGACTTTATCAGCTCTTGGCTTTTCAGCCATCATCAATGAACTTTACAGCTGTCATTAGCAGAATTAGACAACATTTCTTCCTGGAGCTCTGGCCACAGCCTGCGTCTGAATCACTTGGCCTTAGCTGTGTCCACTCACATCCATCTTTGCAGTTCTCACTGCAAAGGCTCTGGCAGAGGGAGGCAAGATACAGGCATGGGCTTTAGGGTATCAGTGTGTGACTGAAATGGTAGGGTTTTACTTAGATTTGATAGAATGAGAGGAGAAAGGCCAAACCACTTTGAAACCATCCAGGTGTACCTTGTCCTTGGCTCCTAAAGCCATTGGCTGGTGTTCAAGTCCCGTTAACTTTCCAGGCAAGGGCCATATCTGTCCAAGCACACTGGACAGACAGGGTGTATTCTATTCTGTTTGCTTTTGTCATTTTGGAATCCAAGCTGAGCCTTTTCCAGATCTCTCTTTTTTTTTCTTATTTATTTATTTATTTATTTATTTGGTATGGGGATTGAACTCAAGGATTGACCTTGCACTTTCCAGGCAAGCACTTACGCCACTGAACCAAATCCCCCATCCCACATCTCTTTACTTTGAAGAGTCTGTCTCTAACCTGTGGGACAGATCTTGGCTGGGGTTCCCTGAGAGGGCATTCTCGAGATTACATGGTGCTTTGTGGCTAAAAAGAAGCACTTTGTGTGTGTGTGTGTGTGTGTGTGTGTGTGCGCGCGCGCGCGCGCGCGCGTGCGCACAGGAGCCATGTCAGTTCAGTGCAGTAAATGCAGAAGGGGTGCATACCTGCCCTCAAGCCCCACAGTTGTACTCAAACCTGGGTCTCCTGCCCCATAGTTGGGTCATCAAAACACTTTCTTGATATATGTGCCTTTCTCCTGTGATTAATCTCCTTTTCCCTTCCTAGCCTGTGTAACCATCATTGATTACATTCTTGTGAATGATGCTATGTCTCTTATGCTTCATGCACCGGTAACTGAACAAAGACCTAAAAAAAATGGTGCCCGTTAACTCAAATTATAGGAGTTTTGATGAGGCAGGGACTTGTTGCTGTTTTGGAGAAGAAAAAAAAACAAACTTTACTGTCCATATAGGAGTAAGTGGAAGGACTGGATAAGGCTCCAGGATGTAGCTCTGCATTGGATCAAGTAGCATTGGGTCAGGATTCACTTTAGGGCACATCTGTTTCTCTTTGCTCTCAAGATTGGGGACAAGAGCTGCTCCAGTCACTCCAGCAGCAACACACTGTCCAGTAACACCTCCAGCAACAGTGACGACAAGCACTTTGGGTCAGGGGACCTGATGGACCCAGAGCTGATGGGGCTGACCTACATGAAAGGGGCATCCACAGACAGCGGCATCGACACAGCCCCCTGCATGCCAGCCACCCTCCTTGGCCCTGTGCACCTGGCAGGCAGCAGGTCCCTCATCCACAGTCGGGCCGAACAGTGGACCGATGGGGCTGAAGTCTCCGGGCCTGACGATGACCCAGCCAAGATGTATGCTGTGCATGGTTATGCCTCTACCATCTCCACCAGTGGGGCTGCTGATGGCAGCATGGGTGACCTCAGTGAGATCTCGTCTCACTCCAGGTGAGTTGCATGTGCCAAGCTGCCCCTTTCAATGTCTTGGGCCTTCCCCATTGGGGACCAGGAGCAGGTCTGAGGCCAGTTGTCAGTGTGTGCCCCACTGTCTACATAGGAAGTATTTATTTTTAAAATCTAATTGTCAGTTTGTACATGTTGAGTCATGTTTTGGTGATTCATTTCCCTTTTAAATTTGAAGGAAAAGTTCACAGATTAGTTGCTCCAGCTGGGCCACTAATGCCTCACAATGTCACACCTACATCTGGAAAGGAGGCACAGATTCAGTACAGATGTGAGAGTACCACTCACTGGGGCTACCACTGTGTGGTTGTGTCCGCAACCATGTGTGCTTCTGAGGTCGCATTGCTTAATGTGACCGTGAGCCTGTGTTCAGCTGGGCAGCTGGCACTTTTAAATGGAGAGGCTAAATGTAAAGGAACTGTACTGTAGAGTGCAGATATTTAACACTTAACTAAGTGTTTTTAAATTCCGATTTGACATAAGCCTGCATGTTTCTTTTAATTAAGTGTGTTGGTACCATTTAGATATATGCATAATGATCACATTCATCCTAAGGAATCTGTACCTTGATTTGTACAATCAAGATGTGTGCATTTCACATCTTGATTGTTTCTTCCCTGTCCCCCTCCCCTCCCTTCAACAGCTCTTACCCTCCTTATTTACAAAGCTTTGCTTCCATTTTATCTTTCTTTTCTCTTTTTTTCTCTTCCTTTCTCTCCCCCTCCCTTCTCCCTAGATCCCCTTTCTTTTTGAACAGTTTCTTTGTATTTCATAATATCTGTTATGCATTTTGGGTTTTATTTATATTTTCAGTTTCTCACACCAGAAAGACAATGCAGTATTTATATATGTTTGTCCAACTGATTTCACTTCAGAGTGTGATCTCAAGATTCATCTAGCTAAGTTTATCCTTTTTTATAACTGAATAATAGTCCATTGTCTAGAAAACCCCACATCTTTTTATCCATTCAATTGACAGGCATTTGAGTTGTGCTATTACAAACTATGCTACTATAAACGTGGTGTACACTGGCTTTAAAACTCGTAGCTTGTGATTGCGGCCTTTAGTTTCAAAGATGAGGTGAAGAAATGTTGTCTTAGTTACTTTTTACTCGTTGCTGAGACAAAATACCTGAAGCCCAAAGTTGGGAAAGGAAAGGTTTATTTCTTACAGTTTTTGGAGGTTTTAGTCCACACTCAGTTGGCTCCAAGGCAGGCGAGCATGGCTGGACTGCAGTTCATGGCAGCTGCCAAACAGCAAACTCGAACCAGCAAAAAGAGAAAGAGACACCTTCTTCCTGCCATTACATCACATCCTGGCTCCATCCCTGTGTGGGTGGAGCACTGACACCATCAATCCAAGCACTAGACACTGAACGAATAACAAATGCACAATTCAAACTCGTGAGGCCTGAGGGACACAGACATAGACCATGACAAATGTATTTATTCAGCTATTCTGTGGGCAGCATTCTACTGCTCACAAAATCTTAAGCTGTTAATCTCAATCTTGTCTCTAGGCCTCCCTAGTTTGTTCCTGCATCTCTTGAACTTTTCTGAATGATGGGTGAAGTTGGACAACCTCATAGTAGGACAGTCCATCAGGCCCTAGAGCCATGTGGGCATTTCTCCAGGAGCCAGCGTCCAGTGCCCTATAGAGTGCATGGGGACAGACTCCTGCCTACAGAAGCCTCCCTAGGACCTTTCCACTGTCTCCCCAGGCAACTGCTCAGAAATTGTGAATCTCAATCAGGGATGTGTATGTTGCCAGAGAAAACTCCACACTCACTGATCACACAACTAACAGGAAACTTTGGCTTGTGGAACTTTGGCTCACTGCTCAGTGTTTCACTTGGCCCAGCAGCACCAGTAGTATCACCTAGGACTGGGTCCCCTTAGGCTTCTCTTGTTAGCCCTCTAGAACCTCAGTGTTCCTAAGACTACACCGCTGTGCCACTTGCAGGCCCCATGTTTAGCCCTTATTTCTCCCAGGCAGAAAGTGGCTCTTTTATGTTTTCTGCAGAAGAGACAAGTTCTACTGCACCCCACAGCTTTCCCTGATTTCTCATGTCTTTGACTTTAATTGCTGTAGCTGGAAGAGTCATTTCTTGAGGCATTCTGAGGCCTCTGCTGGGCTGGGGCCTGTCCCAGAAAGCCAGGCAGCTGAGCAGTGGTGACCATAGCTACTGGTGAAAGAAATGAGCTCTGGGAATGGACTGAAAACAGTGAATTCCTCAGTGTCCATCAGGCCCTGTGTTTGCTCCAGGCTGAGGAAGGATTATAGGATATGAAAACTTTCAAAATATTCCTCCTCCTATTTACCCCTTTTTAAAAAATAATTTAGGGGCTGGGGTTTAGCTCAGTGGCATAAACATCTGCCTTGCAAGCAGGCGGTCGTGAGTTCAATCCCCGGTACCGATAAAAATAAAAATGAAAAAGGAAAAAAAATAATAATTTGACTTAAAGCATAAGTTTAGTACTAAATCAGTAAACTTGGTTACCTGAATTATTCCTTTCTGAATTTCACAGCAAGTTAAAAATGGGACATTTTTGATGCTTTACAACATTCAACCATCTTATACAAAGCTTAGGAATAAGACAACTATTTCATGATACCTTCTTAGACTAATGTAACTGGTGTCACAGTTTGTATCTTAGCTTTGTGCTAAGTAAAACTTCTGTGGAAACTGTCTTCAGAACATGGAAATAGAGGAAGAGATATTTATGAGCATTTGAAAGAATTTTCTTGATTACCTTACGTATTCACTAATTTAATGTGTTAGGAGATAATTAGAAAGCTCATGAAAGTGCTGGGCTGGATTTCTCCTTGACCCTCCTTCCTCCCACCACTTTAAAATAGGTGCATACACAACTGTGGTGCAAATGAGAGGCCTTAAGTAACACAGTCCTGTGCCACTTGACTGCCCTTTACTCACACTTGTTAGGTGATGGTGACTTTGAAGATGCATCTCAACTTGGGGTGTGGGGTTCTGCTCAGGATCCAATTGAGTCATTAAGGGAATCTCTTTAGCACTTCCTGTCTGTGTGAAGTGGAGCTTGGGAGCAGGTGATAAGATTTTCAGTCCTACCTTGCTATCTGTTCATTGAGCACAAGGAACCATCCTTTCAGTTCTGTGGAGATTCTGCAGGCTACACTGCCAGGCCCAGTGAGGGCAGGCATTGTCCCCTTCACCCATAGGCTGATATGTGGTCTCCTCAGCATGGATGCTCACTGCCTGAGGGTCTAGGTTATCACCAGGAATAGCCCAAGTAGCAAAATAATCTCTTTCAGGGGTGGGCCAACCTAATGCCTAGCACCACCACATGTCCTGATTTCATACCCAGTCTGTACTTAACTGTTTAACACCCCACACCAGGTACTCATCAGTACCTTCCCACCAATAAGTATAGTATATAGATGCGATGGGGGCATGTCCTTTCTTGTTCACCTGTACCCATTACAGTTAGTATATCTAGAACCCCATACCTCGTAGGTATCCTTAACAAGTGAAAGTAGGAACCAGAGTGTATACTATATACTTAGTGGTAGAGTTAACAAACTGATGCCTGGGTGACCAGGAATAGAGGTCAAAGGAACATGAGGTCTGCCCTGCAGGTTCACAGAATCAGCAGAGGTGGGAGGAGCATGGTGTTGACACTCTTGCATCACAGTGTCAGAAGAGGTGAGAGGAACGTGGGGTTGGTCTTCCCAGGTCATAGTGCCAGAGCCCTGGCAGCATCAGGAACTTCCTTGATTCTCTTAATGTTCATTGAGCACGCCCTTACTTCTCACCCTGACGCAGTGTTCTTCCTAGCAGTAATCAGGAATGAAGTATGCATAGAACTGTGTATCTGATATTACTCTAGTGGGAGGGGAAGGAGAACCAGCTGCACAGGTGTTAGGAAAAACTTGTCCACAAGCCAGACAAGCATGTGTCAGGCCTGTTTTCTCCTGATTCTCAGCTATTTAGTTCACCAAACACAATTATTTTTCTTCCTTTGGGGACCAGGCACATAGATAAAGGCTGTCAGAATACAAAGCAGTACTCATGTTAGTCTAAGGTGTTGGAAAGTGCAATAAATCAACTGTGAGAAAAAAAGAATCCATGTTCTGCATTCCCTGGTAAAGGGCTCATGTGCTTTTCTGTTGTTTTACCATTATTCATGTCACCATGCCCCTTAGTGCAAATGAGTAGAAAAACTGGCAGTGTGACTCTAGGAACATCGGGGGAAAAAAAGGATTCATGAAAAGTTTATTGCCAGCATTCAGGAATGTATACCAGCTATACAAAAAGCTTTTATAATGTTGTTACTCCTACTAAACAAATTTGTACTGTAATGCTGATCAGACAAGCTCAATAGATTTGTTCACAGAGTTAGCTTTAAAAATTTTTAAAGACAAGCTCAATAGATTTGTTCACAAAGTTAACTTTAAAAATTTTTACTAGTGGAATAAAAGACCATTTAATGAAATCTAAATTAGAAAAATATCCTTTGTAAAGCAAATGGAAAAAAATACAGTTAATACTATCATATATTACATGTCTTCAAATTTGGGTAAGTGGATGATTTCTAAGGCACTGTGAATAATCTACACAAATGCAACCGTTAGGTCTGCTGTGATTTGGGGCACCCACTGTTGACTAGCTGTGACCCTTGGGGAATTGATCAGTTTCCTGTCCACATCATGCGTGCATACCAGGGTGGAAAGTCACTGGGTCATGTGCCCTGCAGTTGTGCGTCTCCCCAGGTTACAAGACTCTCTGCACACATTCTGCCTCACTCACGGTAGAGGTCAGCCACCACCCTGGGACCTGGCTGATTCCAGCTTGGTGGGTGCTGTGTTGAATTCATCTTGTTGCCTCTCTGTTCTGTGCGGTGTACATTGTCCCATCCCTGGTGACTGCTGAGTGCCTTTCCTCTTGTTTGACCACTGGTTGGCCATCCTCTCTTGAAATGTCCGTACAAGTGTGTGTTGCCATTGACCCCTGTGTGAGCAGCCTCAGCCTCTGTAGAATGGGGCCATCTGACATGCTGCTGACATGTGAGGGTTGGAAAGAAGGCTGCCCTGCCCTCCTACTCATGTGCCCAGAGGAGGACTGAGGATAGTCTTACAGCCTGCTGAGTGTGACAGTGCTGCTACTTTTCTGCCTGTCTCTCTTCAGTGGCTCTCACCACTCAGGAAGCCCTTCGACACACTGCTCCAAAAACAGCGGATCTCTGGATACATCCAAAGTCTACATCGTGTCACATAGCAGTGGTCAGCAAGTTCCCGGGTCCAAGTCCTTTCACAGACAAGGGGCAGCCAACAAGTATGTCATCGGCTGGAAGAAGTCAGAAGGCAGTCCCCCTCCTGAGGAGCCCGAAGTGACTGAGTGTCCCCGGTAAGGTGACTGGCTGTCCTCTGGGACATGTGTTGCATTTTCAGGACTGACTGAGCAGTGTATTTCTCCCTTAGAGGAAGTATCATTTCTAAAGAATAATTTAGAACAATCTTTTTAAACTCTTTAAATGGTGAGATTTATATTTTGCTCTTTAAAAATCTTCATTTTTCCTGTTTTTTAAATAAAAGGAAAATATGTGCTCTTATATTCAAATAGCGGCCCATAGTAGAAAAGTTAGGGTGACATGCTATTGATGGTATAAATATAATCTCTACCTTTACGCAAGATCAAGGACTTTGGTTTGGTTTGGTTTGGTTAGGGTAGGTTAGGGTATAGTACTGGGAATTGAACCCAGAGTCTTTTCCCTGAGCTGTGTCCTCGCCCCTTTTTATTTTGCTTATCTTTTTAAACTTAAGACACAGTCTTGCTAAGTTACCTAGACTGGGTTCAAACTTGGGATCCTCCTACCACACCTCCCAAGGTGCTAGAATTGCAGGCGCATGTCCCTGTGTATGGCTGGTCAGGAGCAGTTTGAATTCCACGGTTAGTGTGCTGCTTAGTGTGGCTTTGTAAGTGACGGCACAGAAGAAAAAACATTGCCTGACTTCTGTCTTAGGGGTAAGGATTTGTGGGGAAGATGGGAAAGGACGCATTTTATCTGGGTGACACTGTGAGACTGGTACTGACCACCTCTGCACAGAGGCAGATAGGGTAGCCACATTTCAGGAGTGCAGAGCCAGTCTGGTTCCACTCACTGGATGATTGATTGCTTGTTGCTCACAGAAGCCCCAAAACTGCGTGTGTACTCAGTGACTAGGTCACTGCTTTGCTCTGTGCACCAATTATGTCCTCAGGCATGGAGAGTGTGCTGGGCGTGCCCAGCGGCAGGGATGCACTGTGGCTTTCCAAGAGAGACCCTGGAGAGTTTAAATTTGATCCATGAACTAGTATCATTCTTTTGACTTGAATGCAAATAAGCTATTTAAGAAGAAATTTTATGCTTCCTCTTTTTATTATAAATGCAAATGTTAGAAAAATGTATATATCCTTCTTTTACAGTGATTCAGAGGGTTTTACAGTGATTCATGCCAAGCCTTTTTTAAGTTCTGTGAAGTACTTTAGAAGCCTTTCAGACACCGTGGTGAGCACCATGTTTAGGTGAGGGGCTCCCTTGTAGTCTTGCGTAAAAGCCCTTCGAGGTCCCAGGTCCCTCTTGTGGCCTCCACCTTGATGCCATGCCATCCCATAAAGCAGCCACCTCTACTGCAAAGCCATGCTGCAGGTTTTGGAGAGCTGCCCTCACGCTGTCTGCTCATGTCATCAGTGTCATCTATGCTTCCAGATCTCAGGAGCAGGGCCTGACATGTCAGGAACAATGCAGAAGCTATGGAGATGTCCAGATAAATCCTTCTTAGTTTTAATCTTCTCATGCTAATAATTCCCTTGACAACTATCATACTAAAACAGGGTGGCCCTACTTTTGAAATAGAAGCATCTTGAAGACTTGTGACAGTGACATGTGGATCATCTGCTACAGCTCTTGCCACAACTATGACCTCCCAAAGGCTTATATTTCAGGTTATGTGATACAGACCATGCACCTGTACTCACAGGCTAGCCTGTGGTTACCCTGTTGTTGCCAGGACTGTTTGGATGCTTGGATTGCATTTACAGAGTGAACCTTTTCACGCTGACTCCTAAGCTTTCTCCCAGGAAAGGACTGGGAACAGTAATTCAGCTTGATAGCCTTTTGTTTTCCTTAAATACATTTTTATATCCTAATAATCAAGGGAGACAGTTGCTTTACTTATCCATAGCAGATTTGTGAAATTACTGATAATAAAACATTCTTGGTACAAGCCTAGATTGATTACTCTTATTCTCCAGGCTCCACGATGTCCTCTTTCTGCATTTTGAGAGTGTTGGGGGCTGCTGTGCAGGGCTCCAGAGAAAACAACTTGAGTCACTAAAGCACAGCATTGCTCACAAGATGTGATTATCCCCTATGAATTATTGAGACTATGTTTTCTGGCACAGTTTAGGGAAGGGAAAGCATGAACCTATTTTAAGAGTTGGCGTATTTTTTTTGCCACTGGTCTTTGAGAACTTGATTTGTTTCTGCATTATTCAGGAGTCTGCCTCAGTAGCCAAGGATAGGATCCCATGTGATCACAGCAAGTTGACTTAACAGTTAAGGATTGTGCACCTACTTATACGCCAGTGAAACTGGTTGTGGTTTTTTTATTCTTAGTGCCACTGGCCACACATAGCCCACTGTCCCTGAGTTTCTACTCTCATTTGTCCCACAGGATGTACAGTGAGATAGACGTCATGGCCACAGCTGCTCAGTGTCAGACCACCGTGGGAGATGCCATTTCAGAAACTCAGCATGTCCTGTCCAAAGAAGACTTTCTGAAATTGATGCTTCCTGACAGTCCCTTAGTGGAGGAAGGGAGAAGAAAGGTTAGTTACCAGGAACACTAAAGTAACTTAGATGTCCAGGTTCTCCCACCAGGCATCCCCTGGTACTCACAGCAGCTCAGTGCAGGCATGACCATTTCTGGAATCACCTCCATCACCAAGCCTTGGGAGGCAGATTCCTGTCTTTAGGTAGAGCTGAAAACCAGGCAATCCTATGTCCCTTAAATCCTGGCTCCAGTAGTGTTAGCTAAATGACAGAGGTGGGCTCACTGTCCCCAGCTCATAGAAAGAGATAATAGTCACTGTGTTTCAGAGTTGAGGGACCATAAGAAATGACATGTGATAAGGTACCAGGATGGAGCTGCCATTGATATTCATACCACCTGACTTTTGTTCCATAGCTCCAGCCTGGAACATCCCCAGACTTCCCATTCATAAATGAACCAGTATCCATCCTGACCCTACCTGCTCATCTTCACACAGAGGACTTGACCTTGTGCTCTGCAGAGTAGAGATATGTGGAGACCCTGGGAAGGTGAAATTTCCTCATGGCCTCCTGGTGTTCAGCAGTGCACCCTCATCACAGCTGAGCAGTTGTTACACGTTGTTAGTTAAGACCAAGTGCAATTATTTATAGCTTCTTTATTATTTCAGTTTCTTAAGCCATTTTTAAAATAAGGCTAAGTAGTAGAAGGAACTTAGGTAATTTAGCCCAATCATCCCTTCTTGCCAGTCAGGAGTGAATCCCTCGCACATGTAGCACAACTCTCCTCTCAGTCAAGGGGAAAGGAAATGAAAGCCAAGTGTTCCCTTGCTGTCTGCATGATGTGGATAGGGAGTCTGGTGCTCCTGAGTCACATGCATAAAACAGTGCAGCGTTAACTGTGCTGTGCTTCTAGAGTAGCCTTCTCAGGTGCTGCTGGCACGTATGTTCATCAGCACACTCACAGCCACACTATGAGCCTCTTACCAGTGAGTGTAAAGAGATCCCCTTAAGACTGTGCCACTTTGAGGCATTTTTGTAATTTGCACCAAGTCATGGATGGGATAGTGTATAAGCCTGGGTATAAGCTGAGTGCAAAGCAGACAATTGTGCAGAGTGCACATTGCATTCCTTTGAGTAGGAACAACTTTTTGACATGTTATTCTTTTAAGACAAATCACCTCCTTTTTCTAGTACAGATGTAACTCCAGCACACACACATTTCAGTTACTGTTCACCAGCTGGAAAGGCCTTACAGAATGAAAGGGACCCATACAATGAGCATATTTTTAGCTTTCTTGCCACATTAGCAAATGTAAATAGCTATTTTTATATTTGCCTGATGTGAACATTCCAGCTTTTACTATTGTTTGTGTGAAAGGAATGTAGTCCAGTTTACAAAGGAAGTTGCTGAAGTTTCAGATTTGATTTAACTTTTCATATTTGCTTATTTCTTTAGTCATGATTATCTTTGCCCTGTCTGGGAGTTAATGTACAGTAATTTTAATAGTTCCTTTAAATCTGGCTATAATCCATTGTTATACCTCAGTCTCTAGCAATTATAATACAGACATTTGTAAGTAATACTTTTAAATGAACAGTTGCTTTTCACTAGACTAAAACCATTTTTCCTGAGCATATTCATGCGACTTAGAAAGTGCAAGTGTTCAAAATTAGTTTTGTTATTTAGATTAGATTGAACCTCAGTATAGTTGATTGATACAGAAATTGCCTAATATTAAAAAGTAGTCATTTTCAATTAAAATCAAGCTGGCACTGTGGGATTCTTGAATAAGTATTACATGAAATGGCAGCCTTACATATTTCTAAGAGCTCTTACCTCTATAACGTTATGGAACTTCCATTTAACATTTCAGAATTAATAAAGCTGTGCATGTCTAATTCATGATAATATTTCACATAGTGTCAAAAGAGGAGAACATTAAAATTCAATACATGTGCCAGAGAAATGATGTATTTGCTATGATGGCCAAAGCACCTGCCTCAGTTTTCTAGGGAAACTCCAAGATGCTGTCCCAATAGCTTAAGATAGGTGTCCTCCATGCCTTCAGTTTTTAATGTCTCCTTCCTCTATCTTGTTTAACTCTAGTTTTCTTTCTATGGGAACCTGTCTCCAAAGAGGTCGCTGTACCGCACCCTCTCTGATGAGAGCGTGTGCAGCACCCGGAGGGGATCCTCCTTCGGCAGTTCCCGAAGCTCCATCCTTGACCAGGCACTGCCCAACGACATCCTGTTCAGCACCACCCCACCCTACCACAGCACACTGCCTCCAAGGACCCAGCCTGCCCCCAGCATGGGTAGCCTGCGAAGTAAGTAAGGGCCAGCATCCTGCAGCTCCAATGAGCTAACAGGCTCTTCAGGTGGAGTCCCATTGTGGTGTGGGAACTGTCTTTTAAATTTGTATCAGTTACTGATATATTTTCTTTTTCTTTTCTTTTTTAAAAGTAATTTTCAAATACAAAAGCCCCAAGATGGACATTATGTGAATGCGGATTAGACACTGCTACCTTATTTGGAAAGGAGTTGAAAAATTTGCATTAGGCATTTTTATCAAGCTAAGCAGTGATTTCTGTTTCATCTCAGCTATTTTATCTTCAAAGAAAAAGTGTACATAAGGCCTGATCTTTATAAAGGGAAACTGTGGCAAAGAAGATGGGTTTCTTGGTGGGCAGTGGACAAGGAGGAAGGAAGTTTGCATTTTCTGTCCTTCTGGCTCTCTAAAGTGCAGCCTTGGTGATAGGGAAGGTGCCAGGTGGTGTCAGAATGTGTGAGTGCAGCTCTGTGATCTGGTGCAGTCGCCTGTGTTCCCATTACTCCAGTACACTAGGCACCGGTCAATCTGATAGTTTTCCTTCAGATTCTAAAAATTGTGATTTTTATATGGTGCTAGTTCTTTTGTTAATGTGTTGGTTCTCTTTTTTTCTTCAACATTTTTACTTCACAGGAAAGCATAAGAATTTAATAATTTTTTGTAGTTCATTTTTACTTTACAGGAAAGCATAGGAACTTAATAAGAAAAGAATTTATTGTCAGATTTTAAAATTTCATCATGGAAATCATTGGGGTGAATTCTAACTTTCATAATGTATGTAGATGTCCAAGGCTGAATGAAATTAAAGTTCTTACAGTGTCGAACATAATTGGAAATGAAGCTTGTCTCATGTAGCTAATTTATTCCTGTAAGTAATGTAATGCACTGTTATAAAGGGTCCATTCACCGAAACGGAAGATGCCTTTAAAACTCCTTGTCACAACAGGAAAGGTCAGACAGCTACATTCTAATTTCCCACACTTCGCCAAGTATCTTCTCCTTTTATAAATAGGAAAACTCTTAAAAGCTTTTTCAAAACCTCTAAAGTTGGATTCCCATGCCCATGCTTTTTTCTGGTTTGCAGCACTTACAGTGTGATTGTGTGCCACACGGTGAACCTGTCAGCACACTCTTAAACCCACCCTTTGCACTATTTACTGTGAAAGATATATTTGTTTTTTAGCTTCACTTTTCAAAAAGTAAACTTTAATTTTTAGAGCAATTTTAAGTTCACAGCAACACTGAGCAAGAAGTACTATAATTTTCCATTTTCCCAGTCCTATGGCCACCCAAGCCCCAGCCACAGGCTCCCCATTGTCAGTAGCCCCCACCCAAGTGCTGCATGGGGCACAGTCAGTGGAACTGCATTGATGCATCCCTGTCAGCTGAAGTCCACATTAGGCTACATTCTGGGTATCGTGAGTTCCACAGGTTTGGACAAATGTGTAAGGTCTTGTCATCAGCACTATAGAATCATGCAGTGTAGTATTGCTGCCTGGAAAATCCTCTGTACATCTGGTGTCGTCCCTCTAACCTCAACCTTTAGCAGTTGCTGATCTTAGCATCATCCCTATGGTTTTGCTTTTCAATAATGTTGTACAACTGAATAATACTCTATTGTCTGGAGATACCATAGTTTGTCATGTACTGGCCGAAGGAGTGTCCTTTTTTTAATATATTCAAAGTGTAAAAGACACATTTTTTCACTTTCCTAGTTAAAGATTGCCTTGTCTTGACTGGGTGTTTCTTGAAGAGCAGCAATTAGGACTCTGGCTGTTTTTGCTCCCTGACAAACCTTCCTATTTGACAGTGTGACTCCTCCAGTCAACATTCTTTAGAAACTAGTAGGCAAATGCCTCAGCTTGATATGCGGACTGACCAAATGTAAATATGAGGCTATGAGTAACTTACTAGTATCTATCTGTTCTCCTCCAAACTTCTGGCCACATAGGGACACTGATTCTTGGACCCCTGCCTGCAGCGTGTACTCTTGTGACTTTTCTGTCGGCTGAATGGTTTCTTGTTACCCCACAGCCCCTTAGTACAAATGCAAAGTCCTTTTAGAGTGGGTCAGTATTCTGAGGGGCTAAGCAGCCAACAATGAGGAAAATATGCTGCTCTTAGTTTCTCAGAGAGACAGAAACATCACTTCACGTGAAAACCCAGAGTCAAGGCTGGTTCTGTCAAGCCATCTAACTGTGAAACTTCAAAAGCTGTGCAGGTAGTGTCAGACACAGATGCAGGAAGCACACAATCCTTCTGAAGTTTGGCCCTTGCCCCCTGGGGAGCATCTGCTCCTTTAGGACGGAATCTTCTTTTTCACAGACCCTTCAGATCTTGCTTGTGATTTGGAGGGAGGGACAGCAAGCCTTCTCCTCATGATGAAGATTGAATACCTAGTCTCTGGACGTCGTCACCTTGGCGTGATCACAGGCTTTTCTTTCAAATTTTTTTAGCTTTTAAAAGTCTTAGATTTGAACCTCTCTCAGTCTTCTGAGACCAAGACTGCATTCATGCTGGGTGACAGACCTTCACTGACCCATTAGGATTTGCTTTGTGCTGTGACTCGCACAGATGTCCTGTGAAGCCTGATGTGTGTTCTCTCTTCACCTCTCCCACCTAAAAGTGCTTTGAGGTAGTCCTGCATCATTTTGGGGTTTTTTTGCTTTCATCACTGGTTAATTGTAGATGAAAATTTCTTTAATGGCCCAAATAGCGAGTGGCCATTTGGACACACAACTCGTAGACCAGGTACTGGTGGCAGTCCTGGTATCTTTGTCTTCCTGGACAATGGCACAGCACAGCCCATTCTGTGCAGCTCCAAGTACAGCAGGTTTGCAAGTTTAAAAAGAATTCCTAGTTGTCTGTGGAATGGAAATCAAAACTGTTCCAGGAGTGGTAACATCTTCCTGATAAGAGTTCTCAATATTCAAAACTAAAAAAAAGTGTTAGCTTATGTGTGCTCCCAAATCCTGTGTTTCTCATCTAGATACCCCTCACAGTGTGTCTCTTACGTTTTAAAAAAATGATAATAGAAACAAGTATTTTACAAATAATACAGTACTATATGAGTTTGCAGACCCCCAAATACATACTTTCCAGTGTTAATTCACAGGCAGTGTGGGCCACCATCGCCCTATAGAATGTGAGGAACTGTCAGAGACAGTGTGGTGTTTGCCATGGACCAACATCTCTGTCCTCATGTTCTCGATCTTGCCTATAATAGCTATCTGCTGGCTTCTGGAGAGTAATTATGAAACTTCTGATGTCTGACCACTGAAAATGCTAGCAGGAAAGCTCCTAAAGTCAAACTCAATAAAGATGGAGACTTGTCATTTCAGGTCGGGGTGAACAAAGAGCCGCAAGATCAATTCTAAGGTCTGCAAGCCAGGCTGTCATGCAGTAGGACCCCAACACTAGCTGCTTTCAGGGCCCCTCAGCCTCCTTATAGGCCCAGATTAGGGCCACATGTGATGTGACAATGAGAGGGCACAGAAGTGGTGTCATCCTGTCTAGGTGAAGCAGGGGGGCGTCTACCCATGTGCACCTCAGAAGTGCTTTAGAAAAGTGTTCTCTTACTCCATCTGCTCTCTGATTACCCCCACCCTAAGCTCCAGGAAGTTTTCCAGGTATAAAGTAACATGAGTTCTTATTCTCTGCTCACTGTCATCTTACTTGACACAAGGACAAAGTAATATGGGCGACACTGGCCCAGATTTCTAGTCAGGAAGGCTCTGAACAGCTTAATGTTAACCTGGCATTGCCACACTTCCTGTAGGAGAGCCCCAAACATGCCTTCAGTGCTGCATCCTCATTTGTCTGGCTGGCCAGTGAGGGAGAGCAGCACATGATCCAGCCAGTAGGTTTTTTCTCCTTTGAATTAGCCATGTGTGCTTCTGAGGAAACTCCAGGAGCTTAGGGGAAAAAACTAGCTTCTGTGTAGAACCACACACTCTGGAAATGGTGTCAGTACCATGCTACAGCATAAAAAGATGTGACATCCCCTGGAAACAGGTAGCAAGATTTCTGCACCAAAAACAAAAAAAATCTGCAGCAAGTCTTACTGCAAAATTTCTTTATGTTTGGTGCAGAAGTCTTACTTTGAGTAGAATGATATATAGTATAATAGAGAGACAGAAGTGATTTGCCTCTGAAGATTTCTGAGTTTCTGTACCTCTCTGCTTGAGAGTGGACCTTAAACTTATGGTTAAAGAAGAGATCTGAAAACTAGTCCACCCAGCCTGTCCTTCACATGCTAATGGGCTGAACTAGGCCTCCCTTCTGTCCAGAGAAGTTCTCAAGAAGGGTAACCCACAAATGCTGAGATCTCTGCCACCCACTTTCTTCTTCAACTTTCGTAAGGAACTAGCATATCCCTTGCAGTACAAAGGTGACCCACTGTTATTTCAGAGATGGAGAAACTGACAAAGTATCCACTCCTGAGCCCTCTCAGAATAGAGGCTGGGGAATATGCTGTAGAACATCACTGCATCTAAACACAGCTTAAAAATAGCTTTGTTAGATTGATTTGCTGCCCTAGTGAGAGGTCCACTAAGGCTGCATTTGTCAAGAGCGTAGAAGTACTTTTGGTGTCCTTCAAGGCCATATTTACAAGCACTGTGTGCCTCAGTCCAGATGCCAGAATTCCACAGTTTCCCCAAAGAATGCAGGAATGAAAATTACAGGTGCATTTGGTTAATTATGTCCTTGACTTAGTTTAATTGCAGGCTCAGACAGCCAGGAGGCCATGGTTTTGATTGGTCTCATTAGTCTGATGCCTCTGCAAGCAGCTGCACCCTGTGCTTGGGGTGGGCTCCGAGAAGGCACATTGAAGACATCACGGTCCTTTCAGAACTTACCCTGAGATGCAGAGTGAGTTCTTCACAACAAGCATTATTAATGATAGCAACACTTGAGAGACAGTGATGGGAATTTAGAGAAAAAGCAAAAGGGGAGAGACCTACATTCCCTGCCAAAGGAAAACTATCCATTGGTGTATGAGATGTTGAGGTGACATCCTTTTCAATCAGAAAAAGCAGCCCAGCCAGCATTTTTATGCACAGTGTATAAAACAATGTCTTTTTTCTTCTGGTCTGTTAATAAAAATGAAGCTAGTCTCACTGCATTTTTGTAATAAACTTCAGTTGAGGCATTTGGAATTTGTGTCACTGAGCTCAGAGACTGGTTCTTCACTAAAGCTTTAGACTCACCAGGAAAGGGAGAGATTGCTGCTAGTCTTTGCAAAGCAGTGTAGGTCCTGCAGCACTGTCCTCAGAGTCACCTGAAGGAGGTGCAGTTTACTCTGTCAGTCTGATTCAGTGCTCAGGGAAGTCTTTCCAGGAGGGCACTCCTATGAGGTGATACAGGGTGACGGTGGCTAATTGTGTCCTTTTGTTCCAGGGAGTAGTAGATATCTTAACAGAAAGTTTCCTCAGCCACTTTGGGAAGAAATGGGAGGACCCGTGCTCTAACTTAATTCTTACCTCATCCTCTATGACTGCAGTGGGGCCCATGTAGTAACTGACTGACTGACTCTGTGGGTGGTGACAGTAACTGTGCTTTAACTCTGTGGGGCAGGTGTACAAGTGCTTTCACTGACTCACTCTGTGTGAAGACAGCAGGACCCATTGCTGCAATGGCTATGAGTAGAGAGAGCATTACCTGTTCACTGACAGACTGACTGTAATTCAGCAGTCCCTGTGCTATGACTGACTCTTAAGTAGGAGTTAGCAGTGCCCATAGTGTGATTGACTGTGAGGATGATGGTGCCTGTGCCATTACTGAGTAGTTGGTACTGGGTGGGGACAGTTGTATCTATGCTGTGGTTAGATGTCTATGTGGACAATGATACCTATGCTATGTAGGGGTGGCAGTTTCCAGCTGTGACTGTGTGGAGGTGATGATCTGACTAACAACAATAATCCCTTGTGGCTGGCTGACTGATGCTCTGTTTCGTTTCTGTTTAGATGAGTTCTGGTTTTCAGATGGGTCCTTATCAGACAAGTCCAAATGTGCAGACCCTGGTCTGATGCCCCTCCCAGACACGGCTATGGGCCTCGACTGGTCCCACCTGGTGGACGCAGCACGAGCATTTGAAGGTAATGACTTTGTCTCCAACCTTAGGTCCCTGGGAGTGTAATCTGCAGGCCTATGCAGTGGCATGGGAGTTGGCTATTTCACCCATCTTTAAAGATGAACATGAAGAGATGCCTAGGTTCCGGAAAGTGTGTCCTGAGACCCAAATACTAGGCAGACACCAGCTGCCCCTGGGTGGGACCAGCCATATCTCCTTTGTGCCTCTGTTCACATCTCACAGGTAGAGGTGGCAACACAGGACACACTATCTTTCCTCCAAGTGAAGTTCTGTGAGATAGCAAAGGCCTTGGGAGGTTGAAGCTGCCAGGTTCACAAGATGAGCAGCTGGGAGACATAGTGCCAATGTGGACTGTGCAGTGATCTCCCTGTCCTATGTAGGGTTATTGTTGCTACCATGCTGTTTATCACCATCAGTACAGTGACTGGTTACAGTGTAGGGAACACCTTCGTGCCTTGCTTATCATAGGGTGCTGGCCAGAAGCTGGCATCATGACTTAAGGCTTTCTGTCTTTTGCCGCTGCATTTTTTCAGTGTATTTCACAGTAGTGGGTTCCATTCCAAGGGTTCCTGGCCGCTAGAACTGACAAAAGAACATAGCTGAACCCATCCCCAGCAAGGTGATTGCACTACATGTGCGGCTGAGGAAGTCAGGATCAAAGGCCACAGCTCTGGCCTAGGAAGTCCAGGACATTATGCCTGCCTCATTCTTTGGGCCCATGTGAGCCTCAAGGCCAGCCAGGTGCCAAGGGCAGCACCAGGCTCCGCCTCTCCAGGGAGCAACAGTCTTCCCTGTAACAGCCATAAAGGATACTCATAAATCAGCAAGATAGGATTGTGTTCTCTGAGATGGAAGTAATCATTAGAATTACAATGAGAGAAATCCAAGAAACACTCCAGGAACAGAAAAGTCTTCATATAAGTAAAGCCAAAAATAGATAGAAAGCTTTATAGGAAAAAAGTGATCATTTTTAAAAATTACTTTGTAGATTAGTAGTTTTAATTCAGCTATCTAAAGATATATTAAAGAACTTAAGTGCATCCATTTGGTAAATAGATGAACAATGTTCAACAAAAAATATTATAACTCAATAATAATTAAAACTGCATAATAATGATTTATAAATAGAATAAGTCATTTTGAGGAAAAATAATGATCACATACAGAAAGTTGTATATATTTAGGAGCTAAATAGAGAGGGATTTACTAACTCTACAGCAAGCAAATGAGGCATATAGATGCTTCCACAAAAGGAAAGAGCACAGTGACAGAGCATGTACAATGTGTAGCCATACATGTGAATTTAAATGATAATGAGCTACCACCTCACACCTTTTGAATAGGACAAATGATGCAGCAGTCTGGGAAGCTGCGAAGAATACTCACAGCTGGTATCATTATACAGATTATAAAGCGATCCATTTTCTTGTTCAAGCACTATGACAGTATGTAGCCAGAGCCAGAAAAATCTATCTGCCTTGTGACTATAAATCTGATGCCTGAAAATTGACTGATACGAAATTATTGGGAAGAATAAGAAAGCATGAAGTATAGAAACACTGTGTAGTATTATAAAAAATTAGTAAGAAAATAGATAACCAAACTCTCCTCTAAAAGCTTAGATGTCAGAAAAATGGAGAAGTCTCATCAGTCCAGGAGAGAAAATGTGATTTGGGTGCTGATGCTGCCAGCCCAGGCCTCGAGCTTCCCCATGCTGTGATGGTCAGTTTAAGATGACTGAGTCACATTTCAGACTTTGATTTGCTGGTGAGGCGAACTGTGCTATTTGTATATATCAGATTCCTTGTGTAACATTGCTGATCTTTCTAATACAACAGAATCATTTAGCTACCATGCACTGCAATGTTTAGCATAGCCTTAACTTACTCAGCTAAGATTTTCCAGTGGTGCAAAAGCAGTACACATTCCATAGAAACCCTACTTTGAATTTTAAATGCAGTACAGTGCTTTCTTCTGATTTTGGACCACTCCATCAGCCCTGAAATCACCAAGGGAAAAGAACGGACACTCTGTGGTACACTGTATTGTTAAGCTGTGACATTTGGTAGGCTAGGTGTGTTCTTTGTGTGTTTTTTTATTTACATGTTCAGATTGCTTGGGGCTTATCTGGCTGTTTCCACATGGTACGGTGTATATACGTACCTCCCTCCCCTTCCTAAATGCTAGCAAGAGCAAAGCCACGTAAAAGACTTGCATGTGGGTCAAATGGGGAAGCAGGGAAGGGAAATAGAATCTCTTTAAGAAGTAGTAGGATTTAAAGTAGCTCTCATTTATCACAATACATACCAGAAGGAGGCACTTGGTATATCCCTGAGCATTTGTTACATAGATGATGTTAAAGAGCAAACAGGCTTAGAAAATAAAATGACACACTGGCAGTTGGAGAGTGGGCTCTGTGTCCCAGCGAGAGAAGGCCTATCCTCTACTACATGTGTACACTTTTCCCTAGGTGGTGACCATCACCATCTCCCCAAACAGTGAGTGCAGGGTGTGGAGGTGGGCAACTGACAGGTGACTGTCTGTAAGACACATGGTATTAATACACATCAGGCGCTGCTATAATAATATTGCCAGGGACACATATTTTCCAAAAACTGGTCTGTATTTTTATATCCTCTTTGTCCTTGATTTCTTGGAACAATGATCATAAATTTTTGTGATAACTTTCTTAGTTCTAAACTTTCAGTTTGAAGTTGATTAAGTTTTTAAAGTTAATTGGTATTTTATATGCTTGCATGTATACAAGCATAAAGAAAATGTGACTTACTGGGTAGCTTCTAATGGTAATGTAATTTGTGAAAATAAAGACTCCCACAAAGAAGAAAAATGCAGTCAAATTTAATATTGTAAATCAACCTGAATTATCTCAAAATAAATTAAAATTGTTTCAGGCTAGTTGGTATGTCTCAAGCAAAGAGTTCAGAGCTCTTACTCATTAATCTATGCCATCATCTTTGTGCATTTGTCAGTGGGCTGCCAGCAGCCTAAACTAGTGGTGGAACCTATGGCATGCATGCCACAGTGGGAAGTTTGTTATTATTGCTCTAAAGGGTTTCCCAGCTCTGGCCTAAACTATGGTACTTCATGCTGAAACTCTTTTATTCTTTCCTTGGAGGTAGTCAGCTTCCTGCAGCTCTGTAAGCACAAGTGTCTGAACCAGAACCTATAATTTCTTACATGTAGGCCTAAAACCCTAGCTTGTTTTTAGTTTGTGGTTTTAGCAAAGCTCTATTAAAAAAGCTTTGTGAAAGTGAAAGAACTCTGATCTAGTTTCCTGCCTGCTGGTATACCCCACTCAGTTATGCCCTGGTACATGCTTTGTCATCCTGTCCTCAGCCTTGACTGCTAATCAGACCACCCACACTGCCATGCAGGCTTGGGCCATAGTGCTCAGCACTGCAGGTGACCAGTAAGTTTATAGGAGTGGTCTACATTTCTTGCCATCCCAGTCCTAAATGGTATAGAATAGCTGAGGGACTCTGTCCTTTTAGTGTTAAATACATTCAAAATTAGGAACATGACATTGAAATAAGATTTAAGATTATTTAAAGGGAACTGGACATGGTGATGCACACCTGTAATCCCAGCCCCCAGGAGCCTGAGACAGGAGGATTGCCGTGAGTTTGAGGCCAGCCTGGGCTACATACCAAGACCTGGTCTCAAAAAAAAATTGTTTAAAGGGGTAGCTTGTTTCTCACGTAAACCATGCCTAATGTCTCTTCTTTGGTCATACTTGTTTAAAGGAATTGGAAACTGGAGAGATAAGAACAAACAGGCAGCACATGTTAGGTGCCAATGCTGGGTCTAGCAGACAACCCACAGAATTCATACTCCCTAGCTTGAGGTCTTCTTTGTATCATGTGGTTCCAGGTCAGTGATCACTTGATTACTGAATACTTTTCATCACAGAAATAAGCTGTAGAAGCAAAAGCTTCCATTGGAAACTGTCAGGAAGATTAGCATTGTTATAAAGCAGTTTTATGTCTGCACAGTCAAGCAGCTTCTGTTAGCACTGCAGCTTCCCAAGATATTGGCTCCCAAGGGCACCCTCAGTTGGTAGGGTGCATCTCGGTTCTGGCTTCTGGCCTCCCAACTGGGAAGACCATTTTTCTCCCCAAGGCGTATCTGAACAACTGGCTGCCAGTAGCAAGGCACATGTGTGTCACATATATGTATAGTGTAACAGTTTAGGTAGAAAGAAACAGAGCAAACTACAGTGTTCCCAGCCAGGTGTGTGGACTGGACCATTGGCATCAGCTGGGACATAGTAATAAAGAAATATGACAAAATAGTTAATGAAGGGTTGAGTCAATATAATCTGTTCAAAAAGTGAGAAAAATTTTATCTACTTGCTAATATTCCATTATTGTCAAATTCACTCTGGAACAGAACATGACTCTTGTTTTCTTCTTTTCTTTTCTTTTTTTTTTTTTTTTTTTTTTTTTTCTGAATCTGACTTTATGTCTTCCTTTGGCCCTCAAAGAGTGGGGTTAAGATGCTGCAGTAGCTCAGACCTCCTCCCCCAGCCTCAGGTGTAGACCAGGGCTGTGCTGCTCATAATTAAGTTACAAATTTTTTCATCACATGCAAAACCTGCTGTTCAGCAGCAAATTGTACTACAGTTGTCTCTTGGAACTATGTATAGAGTGTTTATAGTTGAAGGATGCTTGCCTATGGCAGGTGTCAGGAAGAGGGTCAGAGAGCTGAAGAACACTCCTGTGATGGATTGCTGGGTAGCCATAGCATGATTCCTAGAGTGCTCCAGCCTTTGTCAGAGCAGTTGTGCCTTTAGCGCCTTTAGCACTGTGCTGGAAATGCACAGGCCTGCTCTCCTCAAGTGAACCTGACAGCTCAAACTCACCATCCTTTCTAATTAGCAGCAAGTGCATGACCCTTCATAAACCAAACAAGCAGGTAGCCTCATTAGGAGGCTCATCCAGCAGCTAGAGGGAGACAGAGTGGGATAAATTAACAGCAGAGCACCTGACACAGACCTGAGTGCAGTTTCTACCAATTAGTCAAACAGTGTGAGAGGAGCTGCTCGCGGCACTGGCACAAGCCATTTCCCTGGGCTCCAACCATACATGCAGATGTGATCTCAAAGACCAGGGCTGGGACCAGATGGTCCTGGGTACATTCAGATACAGATGTGAGTTCACAGACCAGAAGTGGACACCAGAGCAAGGCTGGTGCTAGGGTAGATTCTTGAACCCTCTTTCACAAGGTGTAGACAAGGCTTCTGTAATCTCTGCAGTATTGCTGGCCAATCACCTGGTCAGAGTTTAGGTTGAGAACTGAGACTATTCCCCATTCTGAAGACCACTGTCCTTTCCTACCTGACTTGCATTCTCCAAATGTGGAATGCCCAGTTCCTGGAGCCAGGCTTGGCTTGGCCTTGTGCTGTGAGAAGGCACTATGTCCACTTGGTCATGGTGCTACAGCTACAGTCACCAGGCCCTCAGACCTTCTGTGGCTATGGGAGATTGCTCAGCTTAGTCCTTTGACTTCCACTCTATTTGAATATGTGCAGTGAATCAGTTAAGTCGACTCAGAATTGCAGTGTATGCCTGTAGTTTGGGGTGTGTGTGTGTGTGTGTGTGTGTGTGTGTGTGTGTGTGTGTGTGGCTGGCAATGGCATACCAAGGGTTTTTTGTGCACAGCACCCCTACTTCCAGGCAGAACAGGTAAAACAGGAAATGTGACCTCACCATGCCATTTGGCATCACGTCACACTGGCTTTTGAGGTTTACTGTCTTACTCTTCCATATGTATGAGCACACATGTGCACATGCATGCTCTGCTTCATGTGACCTGCTCACATGAGTCTATGAGGTCCCCTGAGCTTTTCAAACAGACAGATGTTCATTTTCATAGAAGAATCTAAATCTTATTTCAGGTCTTGACTCAGATGAAGAACTCGGGCTGCTCTATCACCACGCATCCTATCTAGGTGACTGTCCAGGGGTGCCCTGGGCTCAATACCATAGCCTGTTCTGTACACTCCGTATTTCTGCACGTTTGCATGGTGTTCACGCTCAGGGCTGGGGATTCTCAGAGGATGTGGATCCTGGCTGTGCTATCCCAGGAATACCCTCTGAGTTTGGAGGAGCTTGTCCATCTCCCTGGTTTTGTTTATTAGCTAAGTCATCATTGAACCTGTTACTCATATACTGCTCTCAGCAGCTTTGGCATTTCGTGGGATGTGGGAAGAAAGCAGATTGGTTCTGGCAAATCTGGATCTGCCTACTAAACACCAGGCTGTGATGTGTGTGTGCCATAGAGCCAAGCAGAACAGCCAGTCTTCATGCTTTCTTCTCATCGGCAGCTTGCCTGTGTTTCTTTTTCTTTGTTTTGCTTTTAAAGGGAAATAACTGATTTGGAGGGGGAAACATTTCATTTCACTATTGAAATTTCTCTCAACAAAGAAACATTCCGTGACCATTACTAACACTTCTTTCCATGCCTCTGTTCTCCAGACCAGAGGGTAACATCCTTCTGCACCCTGACGGATCTACAACACAGGCAGGACTTGGAAGGGTCCCCGGAGCTGCCCTTGTGTGTAGATCCAGGCAGCGGAAAAGAGTTCATGGATGATGCTGGGTATGTGGACCGCCCTCCCTACTTTCCCTGGCCAGTAGTTGACAAGGATTTAGCTAATCCCAGACCAGGCAGGAGACCATGTTCCACTGTGACTTCTCCTAGTCCTGAAGAGTCAGAGAAGGAACCAAGTGGAACTGACTCAGCATCCTGCCCTGCTGGGGAGGATAGCACTAGGTTACATAACCACTGCACTGTCCTGTCTGTCAAGCCAGGTGACTTCATGGCCACAGTGGCAAGCCACAGTGGCAGAGAGGAGGGTAGGTGGGGCCTCAAGATAAGTATCCATACGTGGTAAATGTGATGGCACTGGACAGCAATACCCCAGCCTTCACTTGCCAGGACAGCCATGCTGTGCTTAATCTGCCCAGGACACAATTCCTTAGAACCTGCTCCTTGCCTGGTCTCCCACGGGTGTCATTCCTTCCCAATTCTAGATTCTCTGAATTGAGTAACCATGAACTTTTCATGTCCTCTTTAGCACTAAGCTTTGCAAATCTGACTTTATCTTGTTTTCTAGGGAGCGCTCTCCATCCACATTGACTGGGAAAGTCAACCAGTTGGAACTGATCCTCCGACAGCTGCAGACCGACCTTCGAAAGGTAAAGACAGAGTCAGAACCCATTCTCATGTATGGTCAGCCCCTTTTAACTGTTGGAAGTTGAGGAGACCAGGCAAAAGCCAACAGGGGTTAGAAAGGAGATTCTTGTAGTCTAACCTTTCTCCTGACCTGTAGCTGGTATGTCTCACCTTGGGGCACAGGTGATTCCAAAGGCCATAGCTCTATATGTCCAGGACTCCAGGAGTCATGGTATAGCAGACTTGCATTTTTCAGTTCCCCAAGTTGACAGTTTCCCCAGCCACATGGTGAACTGAGCTCAGAAAACTAATGTGCAGCCAGAAAGCCTGGTCTACCCTAGTCAGTTCCCTCCACTTACCATGTTGGCCTTCATTTTAGCATTGCTATAGGATCTATTTGTGAACTATCAGTACTAATGGGCCCTCGCCACACAATGTGCCCTGTTGCTGGTCCATTGCCATCCCAGGAAAGGGAACAGAGACCATCTTGGAGACTGCTACTTTGGCAAAATAATGTGGTTTTGCAAAAACAGAGATTATAGCTGGTGTGCTACTGGTGGGGCTGATCACATGGGAAGGGAATGGTGAGGGGATCAAGTCCTGATCTAGACCATTAAGAGGGCAAGGCTTTGCTGGGCATCTGGTTTCTATAGTTAGAATAGAGTATGTGTATGCACATATCTGCACACTTAGGTACTTGCACATACACACAGGAGGCAGAAATAGATTGGTAAATCCACTGGTGGCATTTTTTTTTGAGTTATGAGTGATGGGAAGGAGTCTGAGAGGTTTGAGGGTGAGATCTTAGGTTGGGCACAGATGGTCAGGTATATTTGGTAGAATTGCCCAGCAAGACTAATGGCAAATTTGAATTGTAGTCTGAATTAAAATGGTGTCTGTTGGCAGAGTAGTGTGCTTTTGTCCACTTCAGGCAACTAACTGTCCAAGTATAGGTAGAAAAATCTCTCAAGATACAAGACTTCCAAGAAATGGAACCAGCAAAGACCCAGGCAAGCTGGAGTGACTGGTCACCTTAGCTCCACCTGCAGGTGTGGGATAATAGGAGACCTGAGTTTGTCTAGTATTAAGGTTTAGACCGGAAACCAAAACAGAGTAGCCTGGGGTGTGTACAGGGTGAAATTAAACTGGGTAATTGAGAGCTGGTCGAGGAGAGCTATCACTGCAGGGGGCTGATGCGGAAGACAAGGGCAGAACTGGTGGAAGTGATCTTTTAAAGACAGGAGGTGGCAGCACATCAGGATGTGGGCACTTGAAGCCATATTAGGAAGCCTGAGGTGATGAGGTGTGAAGTTTGCAATAGTGGATATGGAGTTGGGAAGAGTGGGGTTGAGATCATAACGACAGTGAAGGCTGGAGATGTCACTGGAACATCGAGTGGATTCCAGGTTTGCCATGAAGAAGGGGAGGATAGGGTCTTGAGTCTTTTAAAGTTTAGAGGAACTAGTCACCGAGGGTACAGGCATAAGAAAAGTGGTGGGTCTCACTACCTGAGGGCAGGTTCTCAAGAGGACCTGGGATCTCAGACAGGTACGGCCATCTGACTGAGTCTGGCTGCCACTCACCCTTCCTGCCTCAGGTTGGGGACTGAGCTGCCCAGACATCCTTTGGGGAGGGCCAGAACTGGAGCATAGGAATAAGGTTAGCAGAGAAGAGGTGAAGAGCAAAGTCTCACTGCTGCCCATTGGAAATCCCAAAGGAATTGTTCTGAGGTTCTCAGCTTTCTTGCATAGTTTTTCATGGTCAGCCACTGGGCACGTGCAATGCATGTGGAGGCCATGGGATAGAGGCCTGAGTGCTGGTCCCATGATGACCACACCGACAGTTGGGTTGGCTCTAGTTCCACATAGTGAAAAATAACTCTGGGAAAGGCCACATAGGGTCAAGGGGTTTCACCCTGCCTCTCACTACCGTCTCCTCCTCCTGGGTGGAGAGTGCTATACAGTATGTGCTCAAAAGCTACATTTAAGTTTATGCATTTACATTTTTAAAATTTTATTGCAGTTGATCCTTCTTAAAAATACTCCTCCTCAGACACACTTATCCCATTGTTTTTACCACTTTCTGGTGTAATTCTGAGCTGTTTCAATGTCCTGAATCATTTCAAACCATTTATCTTTCGTGGGCATTTTGACCGTGGAGAGGAGCCAGAAATTGCATGGTTCCTGATCCAATAAGTAAGGTGGACAAGGTTACACTATAATTTTTTATGAGTCTGCCTTTGCATTTGACGGCACTCAACAAAGCAGGATTCACCAGATTTTTTATCACACTTCCTAAAGATACTCAGGAGAGTAAACTTGCAGAACAGCTTCAGAAAGTGGCAAGAGTGATGGGATAAGCAAGGGGTAGTATTTTTGAGTGGGATTAATGACAAAGTGTCTTTTACTGTAATTATCTGTCACATTTAAATATTAAACATATTTTTTCACTTACCTTTTGTACACTAGTTATTGACTTCCTGGATAGCAGCTGTTAGTGTTCACTACAGGAGGAGCCGAGGTGCTGTGGGATTGTCCACCTGTCTGTGTCCTTGGTGGTACTCGGGAGCAGGCAGGTCTCCTCTCAGAAAGCCCTTAAATACTTTCTGAGTGACACTGAGTGGCTCTGGTTACCTCCAGCAAGCTAGAAAGTACATAACTCATTTTCCTTGTGCTCATTGCAGGAGAAGCAGGACAAGGCTGTCCTGCAGGCAGAAGTGCAACATCTGCGCCAGGACAACCGGCGACTACAGGAGGAGTCGCAGACAGCTGCGGCCCAGCTGCGCAGGTTCACAGAGTGGTTCTTCAACACTGTGGACAAGAAGTCCTAGCCCTCCATCCCCTGCACCTCCTTGGGGACTACTGAGGACCACCTTCTGCCCCTCTCTTGCTGTGCGCCATCTTCCCGCGTGCTGTCCACACCCTTAGATGTTTTTGCTATTCATTCTTTGCCACACCACCGCCCCAGCAGGACAGGAGCGCACAGAGCAGCATGGCGGGAAGAAGACTGTCACTCCTGGGTGAAGGTGAATGTAGACCTGGTTGGCAGGGACACTGCTGGGGTGGCACCTAGCTCAGTCCTCTCCAGAGGATGAGTGTGAATGTCACTTGCTGAATCAGGTGACCTGCAGAGATGCTGAAGCAGTGTACCGAAGCTGGGCTTTAGTATTGTAAAATAAACGTGGAGACAAATAATCAGACATATACTTTAATGTTAAAGGTGCTCTATTTTTTTGGATGTACAGTAGTTTTATTTCCACAGCCACATTATAGCAATAAGAAGGGAAGCATAGCAAATAGTTGGAAACGCTGTGCTGGGAGAAGCACTGATGTGTTTAACGCTAGATCAAATGCAGTTCTTTAGAGACTTATTTATTTGCAGGAACAAATGGTGCCTGAATATTAACAGTGTTTTGACTTTTTTTTACAAAGATACATATGCCTTGTAAATGGCTCACCAAGTCATCAGTGGTCACCCCAAATCCCAGTTCCTTTTTGTAAAGTTGCTCTGCTGAATTCCATCTGCTTTCTTGCTGGACTCTGGGTGTGCTGCAAGCCAGTGGGATCGTGTGCACAAGGCCAGACTTGTTTATCTTTGTACAGAAGCGCTCATGAAGTGTCTTGTATTTAACACCTTTATTTAAGCTTATTTAACCTTAAATTGTTAATTTTATAAGATTTGGTTTTACCTGCACTACGAGGATGGAGGATGGAGGGAGCCCAGAGCCAACGAGCTCACCCAGGACCATCACGAGGCAGGGTGGGAGAGTCTAACAACTGGATGCTGCTAGTAACAAGTCGTTTGTATTGCTTTACCATTTTTAACTGTTATATTTGAGATGAACATACATTTTGCTTTTTTAATAAATGTTTAAAAGAAGTCCACATGAGCAATGGTGTGTCCAGTGACTGTAGACTTTTATGATTTGTTAGCAATGTGAATGCGAATTTATTTCAGATCACTTAAGATCTTGACCTGTATTAAATACCATCTAGCTGCCTTCCTAAGAGTGCAGACTGATTTAAAGTAGAGAGGACTGGTTTTGATCAGTAGCTGCTATGTGCCACACAGTGTTTCCAGTGCTTCTCATTGTCCTATTTATCCTTCACAGTGTCCTTGAGAAGCAGGGTAGGGATCCCCATTGCATAGCCTGCTAAACTATGGCTCAGGTTAATGTTGCCTTTTTAAAATACTACCATCTTACTCGCCTAGCTTGATCTTATTTACAAAGCGATACATAGAGTGAAACAGTTGAAATTTTTAAAAATCAGCAAAAGGTAAACCAAAAATTGAAAACCAGCATAGGACAAAACATACTGATCGCGATGGTCCAGGAGGGAAGGGAAACACTATGAAGTCCTTAGCTTTCAACCTTCAAAAGCCAGAAACTATATCAGGAATTGTGGGAAGCAAAATGAGTCTTAGAATTTTCCCTGAGAGTAATTTCTCACAGGAGCTTCACAGAAGTAGATGGAACCTTGAACATAGTCCTCTATGCTCCTGTCAGTGTGACCATATGTATCTCAGGGCTCTCTCTGTAACCACCCTCTTTAAAGACATAGGGTCTCTAAAAGGCAATCAGGGGTTCTGCTTTCCAGGGAATTGGCATATGGGCCAAGCAGATTGGTTCTACCCTCCTTTTTTTGTCACTGTGCGCCAGATCCAGTGGCTCACCAAGGGACAGTTATCCCTGTCATAATGGGGCGTACAGTCTAACATGGGGAGATGGACATGCAATTTTTGCAGAATCTGGAAGACAAATTACAGAGTACATGGATTGGGTTTCCTTCAGGAATTGTTCCAACTGCTGAAGCCTTGGAATGTTCCTAGATATACAGTACTGTCTCCCCAGCAATGCTCAGAGGAGATGCCATCATCACACTCTTACCAGACATGCGGGATGAACACAGGAAGCATGGTGCATGGGAAGTGGAGTGGCTCAGACAGAGGGCATATGGGCTTCAAGCTCCCTAAGCCTCGTGTATCCAGCCTACCTCCCAGTAGCCAGGTATGATGGGCAGAGTGATAGGAAGTGGATGGTGTATAGATCAGCCACAGCCTCATCATTAAGGAGCTGTGGGTCTTGCTACAGTGTAGATTCTATCTTAAGAAACCCATGAAAGCAAGAGCAATGTGGTACAACCTGTATTTTAAGCAGATTATTCTCACTTCTATTGGAGAATGGGTCTATAGAGCTTCAAAACATGTTTATGTAAGTCATGTAGTAATTAGGCATGGGGAATCACATGCTGTCTCTTACATTTACAGCCCTTTGAAGATGGAAAGAGCCATTCCTACCTTGCAAGGATACACCAGAACTTACTAGCCATTTGCCAATTCCCAGTCCACAGTGAAGAGACACTTAAAGAGTAGTTTAGGTGAGAGCTATGGAGATAGAAGTGAGCATGAGGGAGGCCTTGCAAAAGGATCCCACAGAACTGTAGTGGGTCAGGAAAGTTTGATCCAGGAATGAGCCCTGAACTCCAGAAGAGTCAATGACCTGCGTGTTCCATAAATGTTCTTGCCTTTAGTATGAGTTTAGCAATAGTTGGTTGAACTGTTTGCTGAAATACAGCTCTCCATCACTAATCCAGGGAAGCTGCAGGTACTATGGAAAGCATCTGACCAAGTGGAGGTGCCATATTTAGAGGAATTAACAAGGCTGAGCCAGGAGAATTGACACAAAGGCCAGCCTGGACTATATAGCAAGACCCCATTTCAAAAGAAAATAGGAAATAACAGAATCCAACCAAGGGCTAACTAAGTGGGAAGCTTATCCCCACCACCACCACTGCCTTTTCATGACATACCTCTGGGCAACACACAAAGGTAATTTTGGAAGAAAAAAAATTTGCAGTCTACACTAACAAAGAGCAATCTCTCAAGTTCATCTGCAAAGGGCCATGCCAAATAACATGTCCAGAATAGCTATAGACTCTGTTAAACTCATCTTCAGATGGATACGTGCAGATCCAGTGAAACAGCCGTCAAACTCTTCAAATCAGCATTTTCAGTTAACAACCAAGTTGTCAAAAAGTCCCCTAGAGTTCTCACAGTACCTGTAGTTTTGAGCAATTTAACATCATAGTGAATACTGTTGGTTGTAAAATGTATCTTTTCACTAAACACTTGATTTGATATAAGAACCTGCAAACCAAACCTTGGAACATGTCTGATCAAAATAACCGTTTTTATTTTAGAATAAAGAGATATTTTTTTCTCAGTGTGTGAACGGTTAAGTGTCAAGGCCAGTCTAGTTGTGTGACAACTGAAATTAATTAGCACATCCTGCTCTTCTCTGTAGCAGGGAGAAGGCTTATCACTAAAAATACAAGTTACAGTTGAGAAGGAAACAATACAGCCTTGCCTTGGCAGTTCACAATTATCTTTTGAGATGCTACCAGGCCTCCTCAGTCTCAGGAAGGCAGAAGCATAGCTTCTTGCTTGCAGAGCCAAAGATCAAAGAGATGGCTATAAACAGCGAGTAGAGACCTATAACTATGTTATGGGTAGTGAGTATTTGAATAGGAAAGTTGCTTGCTGCTGGGGCAAAATATGAGGTGTGATTGAAAAATGTGTGTGTCTAAATTTTAAAAATTCATTACAGCAAAAGACACATTGCCATTAATCTCCCCTCAAAATTCTCCTCCTTGCTTCAAACATATCTTACTATTCTTGCCACTTTCTGAACGAGTTCTGGAATTTCTCTTTCATGAGTTTTTTCAGTGTCATGAATCAATTAAAGATGTTTACCTTTTCTGATCATTTTGACTTTGGAAGAGCTGGAAGTGGCATTTTACCAGATCCAGAGAATAAGGCAGATGAGGAGACCAGTTTTTACCATCCCTGCCTTTCTGTTAGGTGACACTGTAGCAGCAATCATCAGATTTTTTAAGACACAAAAGACCCAGAACTACTTTAGAGAGTGACAAGAATAGTGGGGTAAGTGTTCAAAATAGGAATAATGTTATGTGCATCTTCTACTGTAATACAGGTTTTTTTTTTAATTTAAACATTCACCATAGCATTGGCCTGAAAACCCTAACGGTGTGACGTAGGGAAAGAAGTGATACAAAGTTTAGCAGGAGCAGCAAGTAGATTCTCTGGTGTGGAGCAGCAGTGAGGAGGACGTCTTGAAGAGCCGATCGCTCATTTCCAGCCAGAGGGAGGTTCTATGTCCTGAGAAAGAGGCTCCCTCTACCACTCCTGTCACATACCACCTTGGCATGGGTACACTTGTGTGAACTTCTAGAGGATGAAGGCCACCACAGCAGTCCTCAGCTCTGGAGACCATCAAATGACCCCAGGTCCTTGGAAGCCACACCAGTTTGCCCCTCAGACTCCCCAGATGCAGTCCAAGAGGGAACAGTGTAAATCTTATAGACGCTTTGCTTCTTTCAATTACTGACTCCTAGGAAAAGAAATTTTATTTTTTTAGTGTCTGGATTTTGGATGCAGGTATGTAAAACCACTAACCCAGTTTTAGTGCCGGCAGTTCAGCATGCTACTCACCCCAAGGAAAGAAAGTCCAGGGGGTCGAAGAGGTTTTGGTTTAATACCTGTTTAGGGGCAAAAGGGGATAACTGGGTGTATTTATGATGCACAGGAGAGAAATGGATAAGAGACATGGCAAAACCAAGAAATTCACAGGTTTCTCACTTGTGTCCTCCAAATTAACCCAAAAGTGAGCTTCCTGACTTTCAATCATAGGAATTGGACGGAACCTACAACAAAGTCGTTTTCTGATCTATTTTATAAAAGATTTAAATAGGCATTTCCTACCAAATGTCACATTCTTGTATTTTGACCCACAAAATTTTGGGACTTTGAAGTTACTTTTAAAAAATCAAAACTGAATCCTGCAAGCCCTTCTTAATACCGAACAATTTACTAGACTCTTAAATTCTTCAACCAAAGCTTTTATTCACCTGCTAGCCTCTGCAGACTCTGGAAACATGCCAACCTGTTTTCCATCTCTGACAGTAGGAACCTGCCTGAGATCCTCAGAGCAGCCCAGCTTTCTGAAGAGCAAATGAAAAATAATGAGCCCCCCTGGCATGCAAGTACCCTTTGGCTGCTGAACTGTTGCCAAGTTATGAAAAAACAGAATTAAGGGTCAGACTTAAAGTGTCCTGGCTGTCAGTGCCTATCGATCCAGCTGCAAAGCTCTGGTGGTAGATGTTGGATTGTGGTGTCAGCCTCTTCTGTCCTCCCATGAGGCTGTGAAATCAGGAAGAGCTTGAAGTGCTAACATCTAAGCAAATGCTTTAGACCAGTGATGGCTATACATACACATCTACAGATGGAAATTCCAGACTCCAGCAAAATAGCCTTTACCATTGGGTACAAAATAAATTGGGCCTTGGTGGCTAAGATTCTGTCCCTTTTTCCACAGTCTTAATCATTGACAGCAAACTGAATGGATCTAAATAAATGTCTAATTTAGCTGAAATAATTAAATATGGCAGTCGTGTCCTCCCCTGTGGTATGAATGGACTTTTTTTGGAACCCCATCTGGGCTGGGGCTCATCAGACAGCAGGCTGCAGCCCACAGGCCCTTCTGCACAGGTGTAGACATCCAGAAATGGGCATTCCATATCCTTTTAAATGAAGTAACTGAAAACTCAAATAGCACTGTTCATAGGAAGAGCTGAGTGCTCTTAATGGCACAGATGGCAGCAATTCCTCCTTGATCCTTTTTTATTGTTGCTTGTAAAGTATCTAAGGCCAAGTTCAGCGAGAATTTCATTCTGATGTTGAGGAGGTGCGGCACTGCAGACTATCCTGAAAAAGACTGAGCTCTCCTAATTCCATTTTGTCAAGAACTCTGAAACCAACTTTTCCTCCCTGATTTAGGTTCTGCCCTTCCAAAGCAGGAGCCTCTTAAGT